CCCCCAGTGCTGTCCCCCCAGAGATGCCCCCCCAGTCCTGTCCTACCACATCTCCCCTTACTCACCCAGGACCCTCCTTCAGCTCAGCCCTGCCATGCCTCCACCCCAGCTGGGACAGAAGAGGAGGTCCCATGTGTAGTCCTCCTCGGGTCCCAGAGGGGGAGACTCCAGGGTCCAGATGGGCCAGCCCCTCCTGCTTTCTGGATGGCGCTGTGGGCTTGAGCGTGCCACGGCTCCTGCTGGGCTCTGGCTGGGTGTCTCAGTGGCTGGCAGGAGGCCTCAGCTGCTGCTCCTGCAGGAAATCGTGACCATCGTGGTGTTCGGCGTGGAGTACTTCGTTAGGATCTGGGCCGCGGGCTGCTGCTGCCGGTACCGTGGCTGGAGGGGGCGGCTCAAGTTTGCCCGGAAGCCATTCTGTGTGATCGGTGAGGCCCACTGGGGCTGGGGGCACTGGGGTGGGTGTGGGCACGGGTCGGGCACCAGCTCTGGGAAGGCCCGTTCCTTCTGGAAGCTTCTCCTCACCCGCTGACTTGGCCTCCCTGTCAGGAAGGGGCGAGGACAGTCCCCCTTCCTGGCGTCACGCCCACCTCCTCCCCATCTGCTCACCCTCTTGGAGCCCGGGGGTCCCAGGTCCTTACCCCGAGCCATGATCACACACCCGCGACCCGGACTTCCTGCCGCCCACAGACATCATGGTGCTGGTCGCCTCCATCGCTGTGCTGGCTGCGGGCTCCCAGGGCAACGTCTTCGCCACGTCGGCGCTCCGGAGCCTGCGGTTCCTGCAGATCCTGCGGATGATCCGCATGGACCGGAGGGGCGGCACCTGGAAGCTTCTGGGCTCCGTGGTCTATGCCCACAGCAAGGTGAGGTGCGGGGCCTCGGCCAGCCTCGGGGCTGCGGGCTGGGCAGCGCGGGCTCCGGCTGGAGGGAGCTCACCTGGTCGGATGGGCACGCCTTCCTGTGCTCTTGCCTTTTCTAGCCCTTCCCCCCCGCCTCTGTTGGCTGTCTGCAGGGGGCGTCGTCTTAGCCAGGCCTGCCCTTTCCAGCCCCACCAGGAGCTGCCCACTCTGGGGCTGGGCATCCTCCTCGGTCTCGGTGCCTGGGTCGATGCCCAGTGCCGGCACCTGCTTGGGGGCTGTTTAAGATGTGGTCTGCAGTGGCTGTAGCTCCCTCCAGGCCCCCCGCACCCAGGTGACCCATAGCATGGCTGTAGCCATGTGTCTTGGTCCAGGGGTCCCAGGACCCCAATGTCCAAGACCCTGTTCTGTTGGGCTTTGCGGCGAGGCCACGGGCAAGCTGACTTGCCCACTGACCCCTCCCGGTTTTCCCACCTGCCTGAGACCTTGGAGGGAGGTGGTGCTCAGGGGCAGGACGGGCTGTTGGTTCTGCGGGGCTTTCTGCAGGGCTTCCCCGGCCACTGGATTTGGGGACGTCACTGAGGGAGAGCTCCCCTCCAGAGCTGCATCCCCAGGCTCAGGAAAGGGGAGAGAGCTTGCTAGTCCTGAGAGTGACAGTCTCGTGGGCCAAAACCTGGTGACTGTCTGTGTGCTGTAGTGCGCCCGGCCTGACTCACAGGCGCAGGGCCTCGGGCTGGACTGCACAGCGCCCCCCTAGCCTGCCTCGGGGCTGAGCCCCTGCTGGCCTGGGGAGCGGAGGCACCCTCAGTGTCCTGGAGATGCAGAGCCCAGGCAGGCCTCCTGGGCCCCAGGGGCTACTGGCCAGGCTGGCCGAGTGTGGTGGTGACGAGGCCTGCCGTCTGCAGGAGCTGGTCACCGCCTGGTACATCGGCTTTCTCCGCCTCATGCCGGGCTCCTTCCCTG